TTACTTATATTTTGTGTAATGTGATAAACGATGTGACTATCAAGTGCATTAGTACACCTTATTCTATAGATGAACCATTCTAGACTAACAATACTGCAAGATTGTAACATAGTGCCATTAGACTTTATATCTTATGCTATCTATATTATCTCAAGGTTTCATAAAAAAACTCAATTTTTAAGAAATAGATATCTTTTTTAAATACATTTTTCTATATTGCTTCATTTTTTTAGTTATTTATAAGCTTTTTTAAACTGGCATTGTGATTTTATTTGTATTTTAGTTTTGTATATATGTTCTGGTACTAATTTAATGATACAGAAAAAATTTATTGACTTATCATTATTCAATTTGCATTCTAATTTAGAAATTACCAGTATTAGTATCGTCAAGAAATTTCATTTTTTTGGACATATCGATATTTAAACAATTTTTTTAATTCAAGAATTATTGCAATTTTATTTTAAGAATTTTTTAATTCGTAAATTATTACAAACGCATATTTGAGCAATATTTTCAAAGTGCAGATCACTACAACCACATCTTTTTAGAATATTCAAGGTGCATACTTTCGAGTACTACATGTTATTGAATAAAATTATAATAAAATCATGTGGACAAAGGTCACATAGTTTACTATTATCAGTTTTCATTAAATAACAAGAATAATAACCTATTTTATTGTACTTGGAAATTTATTAAACCGGTTTCCCTTAGATTCTGTTCAAGATTTACAACAATAAGTGTCACGACTTAGAACATTATATTGTATAAGCATTGCGAAACGTTTCACAAAAATTTTAGAAGAGACAGAGACATCTAGCACCCTGTCACTTGTTTAGTTCGTTGGAAACTTTATACGTAAGTCAAATCTTGTATCTGTAGAAACAAAATAATTTGTGCCTAATTTCTCATTTATTTATGAAGATAAAAATATTTTGAGTCGTTTGCGTTTAATTACAATTTATTCTTCCCTTTATTTAATGTTTGCTTGTATTATACATATTGTTATGCAGAAATTGTGAGTACTAATTATATGTTAACAATGTTAACGGCTTTATTAAGATATTCACATTTAAATATACAAACTCGGGATATTTATAGTTTTAATACATTTGAGTTAAAAAATTTAGTCGGTTAAACTTAAACTAAAAATAAATAATTAATTAATTTTTAAAAAAAAAAAATTGATTTTTTTTTTAATTCAAATCGAGGACTTAATTTTTGAGTTTTTCTTTAATGACTTCTATCGCTTCCTGTGCGGTACCATAACTTGATTCATACCCTTTAAAAGTATATGTATAGATATTAATTCAATGAAATTAATGAACGAATTAATGAGCAAAACCAAAATATTTAGTAATAGTTATTTGTCAGGTTGCAGATGATAACTAATTATTCACAAGGATTAGTGCAGTATCGTTGTGAAGTAATCAGTTATAATTTACCGACTTGACTGATAACTAAGTTATCCGACATTGTATGATGTAAGTGTCGAACGATTGTTGTACGTATAACTTATTACACCACTCCTAAAATGAATATCACGTAAAAGTAGTGAAATTTTGATACATATTCATAAAAATCATTTAGTGTTACGTCATACATGTCGGATAAATTATGTTTATTTACCAGAACCTCCATGACCGTAATTATGACAAATTAGAACTTGTTTATTATATTGTTTACAATCTAAATAAAAAAAAACATAAAAATAATTAGAAAGATACAGGGATAAAAAGGTTAAGATTTTGGTCTTAGAAAACTATGTATAATATACCTATCCATTCAGCCTCAATTCTTACACCATCCTTACGACAAGGTCGCAGGCCAGCTCGATGACCAACAATTGTTAGTTCAGTTTTATCTCTTGGTAATATATCTGGACGAGTTGCAAGACATCGTTGAATAATTTCTCCAGCTACATCATAATCAATCTTTGTAGAGCTGATTGTTTAATTGAATTTTGGCATCAGTAATATAATTAGAATTGTATGACGATAAAATTAGAGTTGCATAAAAAACGTTGCACAATGATTATCTTACTGATTATTTTCTTCCTATAAATTATAATAACCGAAAATAAAATGTAAATAAAAATATTAAAATGTAATTTAAGGCGTTGTCAATTAAAATGTGCCGTAGTAAGAATATAATTCTATCGTCATCATATTCATTATCACTATCGAATTATATTATAGAAACTATGCTAATAGGACGGTGTAAGGGATAATTTGTTTGAAAGTCCGCAGATATATTAATGGGAAGGTGCAAGCAAACAAATTATAATTTCAAAATAATCTTACAATAGTCTGCACGTTTTGATTGACGACATCTCTCTTAATAATTTTGTAAACATATATATATTAAATTCTTACGAGAGTTCCTCCAAAAATCACATTACCATTTTCGCGCGGTATTATGTAGGTGACAGTTTCTATTTTCATTGGTAGAAAAAAAGTGTGAATAATATTTAGGAATAAAAAATCGATAGTGACTAAAAAAAGTTCACACGGACTTGGATTTCCATTGTAACCTCGTCGAAAGCATGCCCATTTCAAACATGATTGAGACAACTTCACTGTCACTGATTGGCCCCTCACTGGATAAAGATTTTCATCTTTAACGCCACCTAATTTACTTGAATAAAGGCCTGAACAATTGATCACAATATCAGTGTCTTCTTTAATGCAATCATTTATATCAGTTTTATTGGCACGTTCCGTGGTGCCGCCTAAAAAGATGAAAGCACTGAAAAGGTATTTAAGATAGACTGGCGGATTAATGGAAACTATATAGAATAAATGATTACGTAATTAGTTACTCGACATTTTAATAAACCAAAATTAAGAACGGCATAAAGTATGTAATAAATAAAGAAATTTAGTAATTACTTGATTTGTAGGTAATTCCAAAATCGACACCATCTGGTAATTCATCTTTTTTTAAATGTCGATACTATTATTACATGAAAGAATTCGGTTTAATAGGTTTAATCATAAGATTTTAATAAACAGCATTTAATAAATAACGAATTATATAGATATTTTTTTAATATGTTTAATCGTAAGAATATCATTTAATAAATATCGATATTTACCCCGTGACACAATGTACTGTACCACGGCTCAACGAAATCGTTCGGAAGTTTTTCCCAATATTCGAATTCATCAATAATCATAACTCCAGTTATATCCGACGTAGTTTGTTCAGCAAGTTTCCATAAATATATATAAGTTGATTTATCAAATCCTATTAAATGACACAAATATTTTACGTTAGAAAATATATTAATGACAACGATAATAACAAAGAAAAAAAAATAGTTATCACACGATGCATGTTTCAAATATCACAAATAAAGTTTATCAAAAGAAATGATATAACGTACCTTGTTGTCTGATATTATTTTCAGCATGACTTCTCCAATGTGCGCCGGCACTACAAAATGAATATTCGTTAAAATTTTAAAGTTACAATAAAACAATGTAATAAACAGTGTAATAACAGTGTAATATTTAAGAAAATCTATATACACGGTGCTCGTATATTCGTTAGATGAAGCCTCCGGGTCATTTGGAAAAATATTTGCAATTATGTGAACTTTAATGTCTTTTTCTTGTTTTAATAAAAATGTTGCGGTAGATAGGCCCGAAACACCTGTAAAAAATAAAGATGTTCGAAAAAAACTTTATAAAAATGTGACATCTCGAAGTATTTTTTCCTTACCCGCGCCAAGTACGACGATTTTTTTGTTCAACATCTTTAAAGAACCTTAGAAGGTTTGAACAATATTTAAACAGACAAAGACACGTAAGTTCGTACACATGTACCGTTTCGGCACCTTTGGTCAATATGTAGTATATAAAAAAAAATTTTTAATTATAACACACCGTATGTAATGGTTTCACAAATCTGGCAACAAACACAGTACATAAGAAAAATCAAGAAAATCACCTAAAGAATAGTAAGCATAACCATGTCAACTCAGAATGGGTCCACTACGTGCGAGAAGTGTGGTAGAAAAGTGAATACCACAACTTCCTGGTGCACTCCGTGCAACGCCGAACTGTTTCAAGACGATTTTTCAAACTGGACCAGTGGTATTGCCGAGGTCGACGAGTTTTTGCGTAATACTCAAATAACCGCTGAGCGGTATGAGTGTATTTTCGTGTGGGTGGACCCTTCAGAGTTTACACAACTTAAGAAGGTTGATTATTCAAAAAATCATATGGCTTACTGGAAAGAAGGTCATATTTTAGGTTGGGACTTAAAATCAAATAAAAAAATTAGATACGGTGGTCAGTGGGTTAAGTTGGTGACCAATTATTGTGGTGAAAAGCACTTAGCAGCAAAGCTTCTTAAATCGGTAAAAAATGTTATTACTGTATTATTATTGTTATCATCATTATTGTCCATGAATGGTATCGTTCATTATTTATCCCTATATTTAGGAACTCGAATTTTCAAAAAATAATCCATCCGAGCGACTAGTTTACGGCATTACTCGTGACCCTATAACAAATTATTATGCCGTAATTGAAAAACTAGTAAACAAGTGCTCCTTTTGCCATAATGAATGGATGTCACCCCGTTGGTGTCGAGGTTGTAACTCTGATCATTTTAAATTAAATCGTTCTAATTGGACAAGTGGAAACTCGGAAATTGATAACTATATTTACGAAACTCAATTAACTGCCGAATTTCCCGAACAAATATTGGAGTGGATTCCAGAATCTCATTTCACGAATTTTAAACAAATTGGTAAAGGTGGATATGGTACCGTTTTTATGGCTTACTGGGAAGATGGTCGTATTCGAAAGTGGGATTCCAATGCAAATAAATGGGAACGAGGTGATCCGATGTTGGTTGCTTTGAAAGATATAGAAAAAACTGATGGTAATATCGATGAATTTCTTCAAGAGGTAATGTATTAAACATATTAAATAAACATATTAAATGATAATACAATGATAATACATTGGTGATCTTTTATTTTTAAATATACTTTTAAATACTCTTTTAAACACTTTAATATCTTGATTAAATATACATTTTATTAGGTTAAGGCTATGACTCAATGTAGGGAAGTTAATTTGGGTTCCTTAGATTGCTATGGCATAACACAACATCCTGTAACAAAAAGTTATCTAATTGTCATGCGTTACGTCGAACATGGAAATTTACGAAATTATCTAACTGATTTTGCTACAAATTCCTGGAAAGACCGTTTAGATAGACTTTGGAGTCTCTCAATTGATCTCCGCAGTATTCACCGTTCAAATCTTGTGCATCGTGATTTACATGCTGGAAATATCCTTCTTGGCGAGAATAAACGTAGCTTTATTGCTGATCTTGGGTTGGCTTGTAAAGATGGTCAAGTTACAAATGGAAATATAAAAGGTGTCTTACCTTACGTTGCACCAGAAATTTTTGCTTGTAAACCCTACACAAAATCCACCGACATTTATAGTTTTGCCATCATTATGTGGGAATTTACCTCCTCTCAACCTCCTTTTTACGGAACTACTTATAATATTGATTTAATTATGAAAATTTGTAATGGGTTAAGACCACCAATAATTGATGGAACTCCAAAATGTTATGTTAAATTGATGAAACAATGTTGGGATCCTGATCCTGCTAAACGTCCCACCGCTAAAGATTTAACAAATACTTTAGAAAAATGGGTTCAAATTCTTTCTGAAAGCAAATCAAATGATGATTTTAATGATATTGACATAAGGAATCAATTTAAAGAAAGTGATTTGAAAAGACAAGAAAATCCATTTCCAACTGTGCCATTATTAAACCTTGATACATGCCCTTTGGCCAGTCGCCTTCTTCCAACAATCCCTTCTCGGTCGATCACTCACTCATGTAAGCAAATTTTTTTATTATTGATGCATTTATGTGGTAATGATTTTCAGAATTCTTATCGTTATATTTATTTACATGCATATTTATATGCAGGGGACAAAACTGCCCAATATGAATTGTACGTGCCTGATGATATTTAGTATATTTTTAATAATTAATTAGTCCTGTCGTTTAATTAAGTTACTATACAACATAAATTTGATTCATTCACATTCATTCATTCATTCATTCATTTACAAATTTATCCAACATTCCTTATCGTTATTTCACTATCTTTGATCTCATGTGCTTAATTCTACGTAATATACATTAACGTTAATTATTAAACTGTAACCTTATTTATTACATTAACATTAAACTATAACCTTATCAAGTACGTACGTTAAAGCCAAATTTGCAACATTGTAATTAAAAATATTTAGTGAGTAAGATCAATCGCATTACATTCTTTGCGAGAATTGAAATTATCAGTTACGAATTAATTTAAATAAAGCACATTACATCGTGTTACCTTGACACTTATCCATATGGTCTTCAAAAGCACCCGTCCTGCTAAACTCGTCAAAAACATTTTGATTTTTGTTTCACTTGTTGTGTATTTAGCTACGCATACAATGTGCAATGTTAATTACATATACACGTAACTCTCGATATAAAGGACTCTTGATACAACGGAGACTAAATAAAATCTTGATATAATGGATCAAGATTCAAATCCCACATCATAATAAATACATGATTTAATGGATTTACTAATAAAACTCACGATCTTCACTATATCGAGAGTGATGTGTACATATATACAGAGAAGCTCCGGATTTCCGGATTTCCGGGTAGGAATACCTGTGAATTATGATCGGCATTATTACGTAAAAAGTTAATCACACTATGTGACAATTTTCATTTAAGTATATATTATTAGTAAATTGTCTCATAATGTGATTTGTTTTTTTACCCATCTTTAATCAGCAGGGATGTGATAAACTTTTGATTTGAGCGGAATTAGTAATATGACGGCAATTAATAGTTTCTAGAATATATACAAAAATACGTAATTATCCAATTTTATTATTGTATATGTGTAAAAGTTTTCGGCATACATATTTGAATTCATGCGTCATATCTATAAATTGCGGCATCCGGAAAATGTGTACCAGGTTGGTGCGCCACATGCGCCACAGAAGCGAAAATGTGTGTTATATGGTACTTAGCAACAATAACGAAAATAAAAAAAAAAAAAATGCAAAATACAGTAAGCAATTTTTCCGAATGATATTCATTAATCATAACTCGAGTGAACTTTACTAATATATATGATAGATAGCATAATAATTTTAATGCTACAGAACTACATAAAATACTTAATTCTGTTTATTTTTAAAATATTACTCGATAAATTATGTGTCTTCTTTGCTGTTGTTCTCTTCTTTCGCACCTTCATTTTAGATGAGTCAATATTTTCCTTAGATTTTCTCCGTTGAACTGATGAAGGCTGAACTTTAATTTTGGTTCCAGTTCAAACCGTATCAGTTTGTAATGAAGAATTGTTTTGGAACAGAAAAGTCATTAGTTTTTCTGTTTATAAAGACTCAAATTTTTCATAACCTTTCTTAAAGTTTTCGATACCCGCAAGAAGATAGTTATTATTTTTAGCGTCATTGATAATTCGTTGAAAAAAAATTTCAACCAATTTAATACGCATATTTATATCTTCTTTGGATTATATGTGCAATAAAATCAACTATATAAATGCACAAACCTAATTTCAAATTCTTTAGATATATCCTCATTAAATTTATTCAATGACACTAGGGTAATATTTGTATTTTTATTTGTCTCATTTACATTTGCTTCATTATTTTATTCAACTATAGTTATTGCAGATGCATATAGAAATGTGTAAAATTCAGATTTTAGTGATTAAACCTTAAAAAAAATAAAAAAAGTCAAAAAATCAATATAATAAACTAATTACTTATTTTTTTTAATAAAAAAGACTTATATATCACATGCAATATATCTATAAATTATGTAATCATTAAGAGAAAGTGCAAAAATATAGTTAAAGGAACCTGCAAGATACTTGATCACAACTGCAGCCTAGTGTTTGCATAAAGATCCTCCAAGTGCAGCAAAACAGGTATATACTCTAATTGATGCATCAACAAAATAAAATTTATCAGTAGTAATTATATTTGGTACAATATATAAATTATTATATTATTATATTGAATGTTTTTCTGATTAATTACTATTTACTCAGTATATAAAAATTGGTTTGATAATTTACAATATCCTAAATGACAATTAGCAATAGCTAATAAGCATTATTTGTAAAAATAATCTATATTTTCTGTAATATAATAAATGATTTGTATAGAATTATATGTTTTTGTTTTAGAAAAATAATATCTTTTAAAATACTAAAGTGTTACTTAACGAAATTATTAGTGTAATTTCTACATAATATAAAATTCTGTCTATATAACAATACTTAAGCAGTTCATCATTCTCAAAGACATAAATAATATATAGCAAATTAATTATATTTTAAAAAATAAGCTTTTTGTAGTTTTAAAAGTGTATTCTTTATTTTAAAAGTATTAGATATATATAAAATTGTTTTAAAAGATTGCATAATTAATATGTAATTATTTTAAGAATCTTATGTTTAGGAATAAGATCTTATAGTTTAGTGGTCTAAACACCTTCTTTCTACAGAAAGGTCAACAGTTCAATTCTAGCTAGAGGCAAAAACTCTATAATCTATAGAAGCATATAAATGTACATAAAGTTCTGTAACTAAGTTTATATGAATATAAGATTAGTATATAAAGAAGTTTATGAAAAGAAATTTTCTAATATGAAGAGTTGGCACTCAAT